CGTTCGTCATGGTGTGTTGGACGAACGAGCTGCGCTTTCCATGAGACAAATCATGGAATACCATGGTTGTTCGTCACAGCATTCGTTGTACAGCGTCAGGACTGGAACAGCAAGCACTACATGGTGCTGGATGTGGACGAACGTCTCCTGGCAAAACTCCTGGAGTGGGAACACCGAAGGTTTCTTCAGAACTTCCAGTGCTAAATTTTAAAAATTCAATACATGTTGTTTTGTTCGGTCGCATGGAAGGAAGACAAACATAGAGAAACCAAACAAAAAAACAAACTACTGCAATTACTCTATATATACCATAGTGTTGGTTGATATCATGTGGTGCATGTTTGTAGTTGCTGCCACCATGTTGAGGGATGGCGGACATAGATGAAACATGATGCCCGCCGCCAAAACAAAACACGTGGAAGCACGCATGCTGACAAGTGGTTGAGTGGTTGCTGATCATTGGCTGTGAATGGCGTTCTGCTAAGTTCCGGGCATTAGAGTAGCCTTCGCGGAGCGTTCGCAAATGCGGCAAACCCACGCCAACACCTTGACCTGGGTGGAACCTCTCCCATGGATGGAATGTTGCTTGAGGTGTTCATCATTTGTCGGAATATTCTTGGAACTCCCATTGCTGACAGTACATCTGATTTACATCCTCAGAAACCAGTTGGACCCACTGACCGACATGGACCCATTGTGGTTGAGATCCAGACGAAGCCTGAAGTCCCTCGGACGCGCGGACGCGCAGACCCTCGCACCAAGTACCACTAGGTTTTAAGGCACATTGGTTTGGGCTCCAGCCAGCGGGGAATTCCCATTGGACAGCCAGCTCTTTGGTTCCAAATACCCAGCTGATTCCGTTCACCAAATCTATTCCAGCGCATCGTCCGCAGAGTTTCCGTTCGGATCGATGTCTGACATCGACCGTGACCCGCAGCTCGCCCAGAAAATGGCCGTGGACCGGAAACCATCAGCTTCAAGAACGTCCCGCCTGGTGGGGCCCCGCGTCCGCGGCACGCGCGCGTGGGCGGTCGGCGCAGCGGGCGGGTGATGGGGTGATGGGTGGGCGGGTCGGGTCGGGTCGGGTCGGTAAGATGATGAGATCGCGGGTAGTTGGACAATTGGGTCAGTCAGTCAGACGAAGTTTTGTGCTTGAACTTCGAGGCATACTCCCTTTCGTTGGGAGGGTTGAAGGGTTACCTGACCCGGCGTCCGTTTCACTTGTGTAGATCGTGGACAGCAGACAGTGTTTCTAATGCGTCTTTATGTTTCATTGATGTTCTGTCACATTTGTTCATCAATCGGCAAGGGTCTTTGTAGACTTATGGGATCTGCCAGCCACAGGCTGGAAATCGTTGAATATTGATGTGCTTTACATGTTATGTACCGTTACATGTTATGTTAATGATTGTTAATGCATGTTATGATTGCTGTTTATATATATATATATATATTGTGTTCATTCTATTTTCATGTCCACACCCTATTGTTTTAGTGATCAATGATAAGGGACTGTTCGCTGGAGGCAAAGGAGCCTGTTTGCTCTTTTCAACTGCTCATCTGGGTATTTGGTCCTTGGACGGGCACACTTCAACATAGCAATGTTTTCCAACACAACAGAGTGTGGAGCTGAGTCCAGTACATATATATATAATTTAATGTGTTTGAGAGAAGTATAGTATCGCCGTTATGCGCAGCCATCCTGGCCACATCCTATCACCAAAATGCCTCATTTTGGGGCTTTCAGTCAGGCTTTGAGGCACAGCCATCAAGAAAAATCCTGAATCCCAGCAAGGTGACAAATATCTTCATTTATATAGAGGAACGGAGAATGTGAGAGGAAGTTCAGGGAAGAATCACAAGACCTTGAATGAAGGCAAGTGGATCTGTCTCACAACACAATCCGAGGACAAAATCTAAAATCTAGTTCAATCACCCGCAAATCTCAAGATGACTCCGAACCTTTACGGCCTGTGGTATTTGAACGACTCGCCCCATGAACCAGGTCACACCCCAGCCAGGGTTTCCGCAGGACTCTACCAAGTGGTGGTGAATCAGTGGACGACCACAGGCGTCAATCTCGTCAATCATGCTGGATTGTTCGGGGCGGTGATGCTTCGACCAGGTCATGTCGTTCGACCAGGTCATGTGAGCATTCGACCAGACCTGAAGGTCCAACGACCTACTGGGAGATCTGAAGGAGTTAATGCTGGTCGATCGCCAACGGTTGGACTTAGAGACGCCTTCTGCTGGTGCATGCCCCCAGTTCATGTTGCTGGGAGATTCCACATGACTCCAATAAGTATGTCTAGCAAACTGCAACCAAGACACAAACAACTGTTTGCTTGCAGGGTAGACTCGGTACACTGGTAAAACATCATACATGCACAGCATACATGCACAGCGTCCGCGTCAGCGTCCAGAAGGTTCTCACTGGACCTGACCAGTGGACCATGCGCCCAGTGACCAGTGGCTGTTCGCAGGAAAAAGACCATGACCTGGTCTCACAGACAATTCACATCCGGACCTGTCCGACCTGTTCAAGGACCAGACCAGGAAAAAGACCAGAGACAAGGCCCACATGTCTTCAATTTGGATTTGTCGAAGAGTTGAAACACCTGTCATTGTTTCCTCACCATGTTGAGGAAACACCGCAACCCCTGTCCAAAACATGGCGCACCGGGGGTGCGGCTTTGGGGCACCTTCGCGATGACGCGCCAGGCCGATCCGTCTACCTCAACGGGCGACGTGTGAAGGTGGAAGACGTTTCTTGGGGGTCCCTTGGCCGAGTGCAACACCTCACCTGCCAAGGGACTTCAGCATCCTTCAGTGGGGGTCTTCTTGGGGGTCACCTGACCTGGTGTTGCTGAAGATGTTTTTTGATTCCGAACCTGGGTGAATCAAGAAGGGAAGATGTGTTTTATTGAAATGACGGCTTCCGAACCAGCTGAAATGAATTGGTGCCTGGAGACCATCATTGGTGACTTTATTAAGGATTCACCAGAGCAGTGTAACTTGGCATTGATTTGCATGCCGCCTGTTGGACCTTGAACATGCTATACCATACCATACCATACCATACCATACCAACATACATGCAGAATTGACATGAATCAATAAACATTACAGTGTATAATGTATACACTATACACTAGATTGCTCTTGCACTGCTCCTTATGATGCTTGGGTGCTCGCTTGTTCGGTGTTGGTGCAGGGTTTAAAAAGTTCCTGGATGGTTTGAGTCAGGATCCTTTTTCCATGATCCGTATCTTAAGGGGTGCGAGGATTGGCAAAACATCAGGCATCCAGCGTGTGGATGCTCTTTTGTTGGATTCACTGAACTTCCTTCGGGAACGGATGGCTTTGGCTGTGATCAGTTCACAATGCCCCGCTGGTTCGACTCCGCCGCATCCAGCATAGCGTCCGCCTTGATAGAATGTTTGGATTAATACAACAGGGGCGGCCGGTGCTCACAAGTATCCTGAATATAGTTAAAGAATCTATATAAAAGACAAAACTAACACGATACAAGTATTGGAGAGGGGAGGATACTTCTAGAATGGAGATGAAAGGTGATTGGTATCGGAGAGGTGGATTTGGAGCTGGGATGAAGGGAGGTTAGTATTGGGGAGGAGGACTTTCCGATTCTGCAATGGAAATAGAAGGAGATTTGTATTGGATTGAGAAAGGAACGAATCAAGCAGGGGAGTATTCTTGGAGTCAGTGATGGATTGGATTAAGCAAACACAATATATTCTTTAACGAATGCAGCAACCTGTCCTTACTTTATAACTTTGTTTGGAGTCAAAGTTATGTAGAGTTTGGTGGCTTTTTGCACTCTTCACTCTTCACAGGTTGACCTTCTCAATTGTTGGTTTTCCTCCAAAAGGTTTGGAAGCTGTGAACATCAATGGAACAGTTGTGACAGCCGACATCTCCTTAAGAATCAGCAAATCAGAAGAAAGTTAAGCAAATTCCAAACGAAACCTACCAACATTGAATGGCAACATCACTCACAGACGAAAAGAGTGGGAGAGAACAGACATCACGAAGACGTTTATGTGTTGTTTGTCCTTTGGGAACCACCTTTACCTTTATGTTTTAGGGGTAGTTTATGAATCTTGACATGATTCATCCCTTTAACACCCATCCAGTGAAGAGTCCTGCCCAACTCCGCCCCAAACCCGTCCAGCCGTTCGATCGAGCTCAGGAACCCGCGCGTGAACCTCTACATCGGCGGCAATAGCGTCCTGGGTCTCAACTTGGTCGCAACGATGCGAGGAAGACACAACACCGAGGAGAAAGACAGCTCCTCTCACCGTTCCAGCATGGGGGTTGTTCAGACATAAGAAGACATGAGAAGCGCAATTTGTGTAAAATATGTAAACATGAACATCCATCAAACAGCAGCTAAATGTGCATAATTAACACCCCACAAGTAGATATCCAACACATCCTAACACCGAACTTGCAACCTTTGCCGATCGGCCCTGACCACTCGGCAGCTGTAGAATTCTCCCCGGTCAAACTCCAATCAGATGCTTTTCCACCTCCCGAATCGCACACCGACTTCCGAGTGGCCACGCGAACCTTCACTGACGACGAAAAGATAAACAACGTTTGCGAAAATTGGTGGCCCCAAGACACATCTCAAGACGTTTGGAACGATCAAACGTTGTTACAGTTTAATTTGCTTGGTGCGGGACTCCTTACCAGCACCACCCTGTTCGGGTTGGTTACGAACCCCCGCACCATGTGTTTACCAATCACCATCCAATCTGCACGATGCTGTCATAGAGTGGTCACTGGGAATCCACTCCACAGAGTATCACAATGCATCACCCAAGATTTGAGCATCACCATTTTCCCTCGAGCCTTCTTTCCCTCCACAAACACCTCTTTTCATCGCTTTCCCCACTTCCAACACCGCCCCCCGAGATCCGCCGATCCGCCGACCTCCCGAGATCCGCTTTGAGTGTGAGATCTCGGACGCTTGCAGAATGAAGTCCAGAGCCTCTTGGACGATGTGGGCCGATTTCTGGGCGGATGAGGGCGGATGCGGATGTTGGTCTGTGGATGTCTGTGTGGAGGGTGAGTTTCACCCCCTTTTCAGGGCGTTTCATCTTTAAAAAAACACACTCAATTGTCACATGTCCCCAAAACCAGATGATCCGATGGCAGTTAACTGAAACCGGTATATTCAAACACGAGCATCCATGACAAATGCTTTTGAGAAACCACCCGAACTGGGTGGTGCTGGTCTATATCATCAAAACTATCGTACCGGTAGATTTGTTGACCCTTTCTATACAGGCTTCCCCAGTCGCGCTGAATAACCTGCGAATTTGCTTTGCACCAAGAGAAGCAACTGGGGCAGCCTGAGGAGAACAATTGCAAGTAGCCGGACCTTCCATGCCTATAGTAAAGACCGTCAAATGACGCAAATACGTGCCTTTTTCACAACAGCAAATGCCTTCGCCACATATTTATTCTAAAGATGGCACGCTTCGTGGTGACAAGGTGGAAATCAAAACCAATAATGATTCTCTTGGCGTCCAAACGGCTTGTTGGACATTCAAATGTTGCTTTTCCACGTCTTTGGAGTTTGATCCCTTGTTTGCAACAGTGTGATTTGCGCTGACAAAATGCGTCCAGTCAAAAATCGGCCATTTGAAGATCCAGTATAATATTGTTGGGAAATGGTTCTCTGTTTGACAAACAAATACTATCATTCTGAAATCCGGGCGTCAAAATATAACAATAGGATATTACAATAGGATCTGTGTTGTCAACATTTGGAAAGACTGTTCAGATTGTTTTGAGATTGCTGTTGGCTGTTGAATAGCCTTCAAAAAGGGCTCTACATGCACAATAGTGCGCAACAATGGCCCAGAGACCATATCAAGTATAAACATAAGTGTTGTTTTTATGGAAGGCTAGCTTTATAAACTCAATGGTAGCCAAAACTAAACCAAAACTCATCTGAAGCCACCGAATTGCTCGATTGGATTTAGCTGTGAAAGGAAGCAGTAATTAATTTGATTTTCTGTGACAGGGACAGGAAACTGTTCAAAAAGACAAACGTGTTTGCTTTGTCTCAATAAAGCTACTAGTAACAAGTGCCTTACTAGTAGTAACAAGGACGCTAGTAGTTTGCTTTGTCATGCTTTGTTTTTGTTGGCTTTCTGGTGCTGGAAGAGTCTGGAAGCAGGCAGCTCACTCCGCTTCGGACGTTGGAAACGCCGCTTCGTTGCGTCGGTTTGGATGGGAGACGATTGAAGCGATTGCGATTCCTGAAGCACGGATTGAGACGATTGGGGAAGCTACAGACCATGTGTATCTTTCTAGGCGAGTGCGAGTGGGATTGAGAAGGTGTGCAGCATTGCAGCAGACATCGACAGAGTTCATGAAGAAAAAAAGGTGGTTGTAGGTCGCCGTGCTATGGAGTGTGAAAAGGGTACTTGACTGGTGAACAGGCAGGATAAATTCTAAACACTTCCGTGCCGATGGCTAGCACGTTTAGCCAGCGTGGACAGGTCAGGACGATGAGAATCTGGCCGACGGGGATTTATTGTTTCTACTAGCTTCTTGTTACTACTAGTAAGGCACTTGTTACTAGTAGGGATGCACTTGTTCCTAGTAGCGAACATAGTTAACAGTCATTGGTCCTTGGTTGCCGTCTGACAGAAAGCCCGCATCTTTGTCGACGGCCAGCGGGAGCCGACTGTCCATCGAGGAGTCCGAGCAGTCCTAGCATTCAAGAAAACGATCATGCCAGATGAAACTCAACAGTCAAAGAACCCAACTAATTTGATTGCATTTGATTGCAGTGTTGAAAGTTCCGGCAGTGCTGTCCGGTAACTATGTTGGGTCAACGGGGGTGGGGTGCCCGGAAAGGCAACCTTTCTGGTGGGATGATCCACTTCGCTGATGATGATGATGACGATGATGATGATGATGCTGCGGATGATGAGCTGATGCACTACGTGCATGATGCGGATGATGAGCTGATGCCCTACGCGAGTGATGCGCTGATTCGTTACGGGCATGATGCGTAGGATGAGCTGATGATGGTGTCTTGAAAATCCACTCAAGTCATCGCCTTGGAGTTCATGAACTCCAAGACGAGGACTTGAGTGGCCCGAAAGGCAAAAAACACCTAAAAAACACACGGTGCGCGTAGCCCTTTGCATGTTGCTTTCCGGGCCGTTTACCCAACATGTTGTATGCTCCATGTGTTTGATTCGTTTATGACGAACAGTGTCACTTTCAGATATTGGTTGCGGAAAGAAAAGTGTGTTTACTGTTCATCAATTCCATTCCATTTCATCGTCATTCAATCCATTCCATTCGTTTGCAGAACCAGGTATACCATCTTCCGCTGACTTGTCTCCGTGCGCCAGGGTTGGGTCTAATTTGGGTTATCATGTTATCATAAGTGTTATCATAAGTGTTATCATACTGCACATGCAGATATATATATTACATAATTATACATATACGTATATATATATATGTATATGTCTATATATCTGCATGTACAGTATTACCTAGAACTGCAATTCCATTTGCCGGATTATGTTGGTCCGAAAAAACGCCACACCTCGTTGTTTCTGGGCTTCAACTCGCCTGCCTTGGTTTTCGTGTTGCTGTTTGGGAAGTGGTTGGTCTTTGATGGTGCTTTCTTCAGTCTCTTTTCGTTGCGTCGTCCGTTTGACGCTGTTTCAGACCGAGGTTTGGAACGTCCTCAACATCAAGGCAACGGCGCTCGTTTGTCGGACAACGGCCGGTGTTGACTCGGTAGCGGGCGAGCCATGGACTCGGCACGAAAGTCCACAGGTTTAGTATGGTTTAGTGGTTTTGGATCCAGTATGATCCAGTCTGTTCACATCCTCAAACGCCTTGAGGGTCCCGCAGTGTCCTCGAAGCTTAGAATTCCCCTGGCGGTTTTTGGTTTGGATTTTGCTCGAAAATGGGCGATCCGCATCCCCCCCGGACGAGCTCACAGGGCCAATCCAAAACATTTGAGGGTATGCAGTACGGTATACAGTACATTAAGGGTATCCTTCGGCCCGTTTCGGCCTTGAAATGCTACTAGTAACAAGTGCCTCGCTAGTAGTAACAAGTGCCTTACTAGTAGTAACAAGAGGCTAGTAGAATTAAATTCCCTAACTCCGAGTCAGAGGAACCGTTTGGATCGGTCCCTCCCATCGGTCAATCGTGCGTTCTTTTGGTCGGTGGCAGACGATCGGCCATGAAGGGAACACCACTCAGACTCAGACTAGATGTGTTGTTATGTTTTGCTTGCGTTCCCGACTAGTCGGTTGTATAGTGTACAGGTGTATATATAGTGTTGAACCCATTACTAGTTCTATAGTAACAGGGTGTATAGTATCAAGTTTTGACTTGTTGCCCATCAAGGACTTGGCAAAACACCCACAACAGGTTCTGTGGCCACACGTGCATTTCCTTTGCAGGTGGAAGATGCAGGGCCACTTGAGGGTTCCACGCCAGTGCCTCAGATTATGGGTATTTGTTTGCTTGCCAGGATAGTCCACACAAAGAGCTCAAAGAGTAAAGAATTTCCCCATCTAGCTCCGCAGGCTGTGGATTTTTAACTATAAGAACTACACCTTTGCAGCAGTTTGGGGAAGGGTTCCATGTTGAATGAAACAAGACACCGGACGACAAACGAAAACCTGGTGCCACCTGGGAGAGACGAGTACTTACCAGGCTTACTTTAAGGCATGATCCCGCTTTGATGAGTGGTCAAAAGTCCGATGTATGCAATCTGTACAGTATGGTTTTTAACTCAAAAGTTTCATAAGTATGCTCATCCCGATTTACCTCAGTAGCCCCTTCCAAGTGATTGTATGGTTCATCCCATTGCTTGCATTTTTGTTTGCTTGCAGCCGACAAGACCAGCTCACCAATACCTGCTTTGAGTCGGTCTTTTTTGTTATTAAAGGTTTTTTCATGCTCCATGGAGGGCTGTGCCCTCATAAAGCTGACCTGCCGACTAGAATAGGTCCTAGCTGTGACAGCGGTGTCACTTGGAACAACATGTTCTTTGGATCCACGACCAATTTGACACACCCAGTCTTTGTCCCAAACACTCCATGTATAGAATAAAGGGGTGGTTGATTGGGGTGTATAGAGCCATTGGCTAGATTGGGGTGGTTGAAAAGGGGTCAATGGGGCAGCATATCTTCCAGCGTGTGGCGTTGCTCGTTGCACAGGTCAGGAGAGCGGAAGTACCGGTCGGGGTACCCAGTCGAACGGTTCGGCCGCATTTGGCGCGGCCGGGCCGGCAAGACGACCCCATTCCAGTACCCATCAAATTCCCAGGAGCGCCCCGTTCGTAGCGTCCTTGTTCCTATAAAGTAGTAAGGCTCCTGAGTACCGGGAAAGGGGCCCTCCACATAGCAGCCTTGGATCCACTTGTCGCTTTGGTGGTGTACTGCCGATGAAACTGACACGGCTAGAGTTTGATATGTTGATCTATGTTGATCTTCTTTCAAGTTTTTAATTTCTGTACAGCCACCTCACTCATGGAATGAGAACGACACAAGTCTTTTTCTGCAGAAGTTGTGCTTCGCTGCAGAAATCCAACGGAGTCCCATCGGGTGGGGCACCCCTCGTGACAGGGGCGCGATCGAAGGAACAGAACCCAGACTCTTCGGTGGTTTGATGATTGGATGCCTACATTCATCCCTCAAAGCACCCTGTAAAGTACCTACACCCTCGTTCGGCAACAACGTTTGCCCTTCATTTTGGTAGATCACTCTGCTTGTTGTCGCTAAGAGCCCCCAAGCTGCGGCCTCGAAAGTCAAAAACGCTGATGCACAGTCACAGGCATTCTGACGGTACGGGAGGCAGTTCTGCCTCCTGACGTGTTGACACCTCGCTCCCCTGGTCCAAAGCATGCCATTGCACTCACTCCCCCCAAACGGCCGATGTCACTATCAAAGATCCCAAAGTGAGCGTCATTTGGAATTCCTTATACCGTACTTCACACTTCACACCCTGCATATCATGGTGCTCATCATCGCTATGGGAGTCTCTGCAACCAATATGGGTGGATCCTTATTTGTTTGAGCGGTCAACGTCGCCTGAGTACACGCAAAGGCACTTTTACCCATAATGGGCAGAAGTTTTGCCCATTAGATAATTATAGAAATAACGTGTATATATATAATATATATATATATATATATATTATATATATATGCATACTGTATTCTTATACACGTGACGTGTGTCACACACGAACTGTTTGGGGAATACGTGCGTTGTCTACGTGCGTTGTCTGGACAGTCCGTCTCGACAGTGGTAACTCCTCGCGCGGAGGAGACCGTCTTCGGTCGAAGATGGGACCGTCTGAGACCAGAGGCCACGACGTTCAGACGGAACTTGTTTGGATTCCACCAGTCTTTGCCACCGGGGTCTATGTAGGGGGAGCTGGTGCTTTCTTGCCACACTGTTCACATGTGTTCATCCTCAAATGCCAGCTATCCCAGACCATCCATATTAACAAAAACGCCGACTCAGCCGACCCCTTTTCAACCGATTCGTAATGCCAATCGAAACATTGGTGAAGCATCGGAACACTTCAGTCGCTGGAGACGCCGCAGGATTCGGCTTTACGACCGCAAGGAGACCATGCTGCCGCTGCGCTGGGTGGAGATGCCCACACGGCGCGCCACCGAGACCTACTACGACGCCCGGCGGGACGGGACGGACTGGGCCGAGGACTGAAAAAGGCAGCAAGGACTGGTTCTCAGGCAACATTGTAGTTCATAGTCTTGAGATAAAACCACAGATATGTCGTCTTCTGCGGCAGGCGCCCAATCGACCTGAATGGTCTTCAGAGTTTGTTACAGCTATCAGGATGGTCCATAAAGTGAGTTCCTTTTCGTTCGACCCACTTAGGGTTTACGACCTTCAGGGCACCCTGGGTGGTTTGAAGCCAAGAAGCTGGTTCTGTGGGATTTGTAGGGGATTGATGCAGAGGATGGCTGCTGTGAAGTGAACACTAATTGGATAGTGAAATCCTAGCCTGTGGTTGACACAGGGGCTCGGGCTCATAGGCAGAAACGTAAGATATTTCCTGATAGAACAGATGACAGACGGACTTAAAGAACTCTAGCAATATCATTGGCCTGTTCGCTTATAGTTGATAAGGTTTGAAAGCCTTCCGATAGGCAATAAGCAGAAAGCCACCCAGCGTGAGGAACACACCAGTGGAACCCGTGACAACAATGAAACACAAGTGAAGCAGAAGCAACAGCAATGAACCAGCACCAGCCAGTTTGGATGGTTATTGGATGAAGAAAAATACTTCTGGGTGTCCACACCGCCCATGGCCTAACTTCTGGTCAGACCGGTCTTCTGGCCCCCCTGGCCAGTTCACTTCATGCCTCCTTACTAGCAGTATTACGTTTCATAGTGTGTGTTTTTTCGATCTGTTGTCACATTGACTTGGGGGAATGGGGGAATTCAGGAAGACCCCACATTTTACGGGTCAGTCCAAGATCACCTCTGTGCTGGGTCAGATACTCTTCATTATTCTTCCCTTGGAAATCTTGTGGAACTTCTCCGGTTTCTTTCTTTTGAAACAACAGCAGCCGGTGGTCGCAGCTGTTTGCACTAGTGGCTGGTGCTGGTTCCAGGGACCTCCAGGTTCGGGGGTGTCACGCAGGGTCAGCTGTTGGACCTAGGATGATCTAGGAGGATGTGTGTCTTTCAACGCGTCATGCGTCGGAGCTGTTCCACCTGATGCGATCCAAGGACAGGTATTACAACCAAAAGAAGCGTTGGGTCTATTACAGTGCAATGCCCAGTGCGTGTGGCAGCGCCTTGCTGCGCTGCTGTCCCAGTATTTTTCTGACTTTTTGTGAGGAACTGGAAACCATGAAGGGTAACGACAGATCAAGAACTGCTAGCTACATCTAGCTACCTTTGTCCTGGACCTATCACGTGTAAGTGGTTGTATGTGTGACTCCCAGTGCTGAACAACAAACAATTGACCTTTCACCGTGAATACGTGAGCCTGAGCATCTCCATTGACCCTTCGACTAGACAACAGTTATCCTTGTAGTTCCCTTGAAAAAAGACCTGACCATGACATCGGCCTTGAGTGGATGGAAAGTTGTGGATCTTCCTCTGCGTTCATGCCATCCATCTGAATGGGGTCATGACAACGTTCATACTCCTGATGGCCGAAACACATGTACCCAGGACCCAGGCAATCAGTCGATGGGGGATGGAAACACCGTCGCGGGGGTGTCAAGGAGCCTGGCTGATCTTCTTACCTGGTAGGCTAAATTCATTTAAATTCCGCGGTTGCAGTTATACCACAATAACTCCATCTTCCATCACTCTAATTAAGTCGAATGGACCTTCGACGTATACAGTATACTGCTTGCTTTCCACTCACCATACTCTTTCTTCAGATGCTCTGAGTGGCAGCCTAAAGCGGAAGGTGCCGCACCCAAGCCCGAGCCGTTCGAGCGGTCTTTCGTCGTTTCCAACCGGACACGGGCGGCGGTCCTTGGACACGGCTTAACGGGACGAAACCGTCGTCCGTGCGGCTCTGAGGCAAAGATTCGGAAGGGCAAGATTGGTTTTACAAGGCTGGAAGGGCTGATTTTGTGGCTGGTTTCAAGTCATGCAACGCTTGAAACCATTGGGTTTCCAGTCCGGAATGAAAAAAGCCCGGGCTCCTGGAAACACATGTCCGGGAAAGATCTACGCATGTTGGATGCATTTGGAATGAGGAGCACTGCAAATGTCGCAATGTGACAGGGCGGGAAATGAATGTGTGTCGATCTAGAGTCTACAGTAGAGTTTTGCATGCTGTATGGGTTTGCTTCCGTTCGAGTTGAATTGCAGAAAGGACGGACAGGATGGATGGAACAGAACAGAAAGCAATCCCTATATATCCCGCATGATTCGTCACCTACATCGGAGCATGCATCCTTATTCGATATGTGATGTCACTGTGGTCCAAGGATTTGGACTTCGGATTTGGGGATGGTTTGGGGTCCAGGGATCGGTACTCGTAGGGTGACGACTGGACTCCTGGCGTCCAGTTCACGTGTTCTGACATGTTCTGACCAAATGCTCGGCCGGACGGATGAAAAATTCCACCAAGTCATCAGCTAGGAGGTGCTAGAGCAGATGTGGACCGCTCCTCTTGCCTACTTGCCAATCCTGAAAGGTTCTTTGACCAGCAAGAGCATCAATACCCAATGCCAAGAAAGTCAATAAACCCTTGACCTGCCAATATACCATACACATGTATGATCAGAGGTGACGACATGAAGACGCACGTACGTGCACGGTAAACATGGCAATGCACAGCCACCTAACAGGGTCGTTCGGGGGAAGCCCATTGTGTCCCACCTCGGCGCCGTTGGTGGCACCGAAAGACGGCGCGGGGACGGTGGGGCTCCTTTGTGGCGCGCCGGTTTGGGGCACGCAGTGTGTGCAAGGCCAGTGATGTGAAATGCACCCAAAATGGATGTGATTGTTGGCCCCACCCCCCACCCAGACCCTCGTGCCAATGCACGACCATCGTGTGCCATACTGATGTGAAAAGTATAAAAAGGGACGTGATTGTGAAAAGTATAAGCAGGTCCAAGGACGCTACTAGGGGCTCCTCGCCTTACTACTATAGGAGCTATGTTCGCTACTAGGGGCTCCTGGCATCGCTACTAGGAGCATCCTTAGTACCAGTGCCTGCTTATCCTGATCCTTGGACCAGTATGCCCATGTGTCCCCCCCGAGATCCCCCGAGTGCGTGTGTCGCAGATGAAGCCCTTTCCGCTAGTGCCTAAGTAGTATCCCATCTTGTACTTCTCCGAGTAAAGACAAGCTGTTTGTGTATCAATGTACAAACCATGAAGGTTTGCCTGGTTTCTTGGTTCTGCATTGTGTCTTTTCACTTCGTTTTAATGCTCTTCAGTCCGCTGCCTTCCGCCTCCAGGCAACGCAAGGGAATGAGTACACGGATGAGTATCTGGAATCGGCCCGGAGAGCCCAGCTCAGCTGAAGATGCTATATTTCACGGTGTTTTCATGTGTTCCAAAATCCAGTGTTCTGAGTTTGTTTGTTGATGCGGTGAGTCCTTGTTCCGCATGCCAATGAGCTCATATAAAATACAAAGTCCGATGTTGTTAGCGGAGCCGATGCCACCGGTTGCACAGCCTGGGTTGATGAACCAGTACTGTCAGTTTTCCGGACATCCGTGTGAAGAATGCCTACGTGACCTTGGGATTCTTGTTGTGGATGTTGATCAAGCTCCCAACTTGGCTTTACAACTTTTGCTCCTGCCGGCTACGTGGACCTCCCCAGATGGTTTGGCTCAATAGCTGAACTACACCGGTGGAGCTCAGGTGTTTCAACATGGGGTATCATCGATTTGGGTTTCCCAACAATTGTGGATCTAGGGTATGTCCCAGTAAAGCAGAAACCGTCGTTCAAAAATTCTATCTCTTTTAGAAAAGGGCCTGAAACAGAGCCATCATCCAGTCATCGAGGAGGGCCCTGGTCATATCTGGTCATGGGGAATATCCCCCACTATCTACTATATATAGATTTCTCAGAACGCCTTGGTCCTGAAACATTGCTTTGGTGCAGTGGACTGACTTTGTGGGGGAGCAGCTGAGCAGCTGATGGTCAGAGATGGGGAACAGATCTCCCCAGGTCAGGGTTCAACTCTTTTGATCTAGGAGTGATGGGTCATCAGTGTATATGTTCTCCCGAAACAACCCATGTTTTTGTTCACTCTGAGACAATGGGCTTTTGGTCGTGTGATGACGAGACACGTGTTTAACTCTTCCATCAACCGCGGCCATGGGACCCAGCTGCTTCGCTGAGGTCTGTTACGGGGAGTGCGAACCAGCAGAGCCCGAATTCAAGGCATCTGGGCGGCTACTCTTCGCGGCGGCGAAGATGGGGTGCAAGGGTCGCTCATCCAAGATGTGTAGACGTTTGTGGCGCAAAGCCAATGAGTTGCATGGTTGCTGGGATCTATTGGAGCCAGGTTGAGTGTAGCATTTTCAGCAGTGAAGAGGACGTTGACCGGGTATGTTCACCTGCCCATGCAGTGATTCAGCTTTGATCCTGTAATCCATCCTCCTCTCCGTGGACGACTCGTCATCCAGCCCCTCTTTGCCCTTGGCGAGTCTCAGTCTTCCTGGCTAGGACTGCTTGGCGAGGGACTCCTCGTGCGGGGCCCTAGTCTTGCAGTCCGTATCCGGAAAAACATGGAAAAATTAAGGGGTCAAGTTGAGGAGGTTGTGCTGTGGGTGGGGTTCCTATATTCATCCATATTCCAATCAACCCATTCCAGAATCTACAGGTTGGAAGTGGCTTTCAATCCCTGCTTAAGCTGTCGAATTCAACAATGTGCTTCTATTCAACTGTTGGCTTTCCCGAACCATCCCAAAGACAACCAACACAAACAACAAAGCTCAGGAAGTTGGGAGTCCTAGTCCTCCAGAAACCGTCCTATTGTGCGGCAATTGATGTTGTTCTCAGAGATTCTCAGAATATGTTTTGAACCCCAAACCTATCGTCAGATTGGACCATGCACACTATCAGAAGTCTTCCAGACCTGTTTCTTGACTGCTTTTGGGCAAGCATTCACCGCCAACTGACTATGGCAATGTCGAAGTCCTGCCACAGAAGTTCTGCCCCTTTGGGGGCTCCATCTTCGCTTTTTCTGACGGCCTTTGCGCTCGCAGTGTGTTTTGGGGTGTAGCATGGTACTACCATGGACACCGCTGAGGAAAGAGTAAGTCCTGCACAGGCTGTACCCCTATTTGGGTCATGGTTCTGAAACACAGCATAGCCGCATAGCCACTGTAGTCAATGGCTTCAGTGTCAATGAGTAGGGGATGAGAAGCAGTTCCGTTGGACTACCAGATGTGTTCCAGCGCATGTAAAAAGGAATCTTGACAGGATTCTCGTCATTTTGCTTGTCACACTGAATGGGAACAAAGAAGTGACAAAGTGTTTGTGATACCTGCTATCACTTTGGCGGCTTGAGAGGGCTGTTGGAGGGCTGTTGATGGTAGCACCATCGGTTCAGGGTCTATCATTGAAGCCTTTGAATAGAGGGCACTGAAATAACATGAAATAGCCACTTGCTTGTTTTCCAAACTTTTGATGTTTCGGTTCTCGGCGTTACATTGAAAGACCAATGCGGTACGGTATATGATCGATCAAATGCAACCGATCGTTTGGCTTGTAAAATACCTCTCACTCCCACTTTTACACCCTGGAAGACTAATATGGACCCTGAAAACCACTGGTTGGTAGAGGAAAACACTCTTCCAGGGGGCCAGGACGTGAGGGTCTATGTCAGTCTTCCAGACTACCACTCTTCGCCCGGGCACTTTTGGCCTGTTTAGGAGAAGACTGGCGAGGAACCACAGCAAAGCGAGTGAGTCGGAAGTATATGCCAAAGATGCCTAGAAAACGCCTTAAAAACGGCGTCGACAATGGACCGCTTCAAAGCAACGGTGTCCAGCAGCATCGTTTGGCCTTGAGGTACCGGCGGTGTGAGACACAGAAACCGTGAAGAACGGATTTCCAAGACCCTGAAGGACCCAAATCGAGCTTTTCCCCAAACAGTGTGGACTCACTAGGGGTTCTTACGGTAAGTCACACTGTTTGGGGTCTCTTGCCGAGATAATTTAGCTTTTCCAGGTGAAGAACGGACGTCGGGCCGTCGGGAAGGTCGGGCCATGTTTTTGTTGGTCCGTATGTTCCAATGACAAGCTTCCGCTGACCGTCTGTATCTCTCATCACTGATGCCAAAGACTCACACCCGAATAGGGGATTTCAGATGAGCGTAGAATGAAGACTCTTGATTGTTTACAAACTCCCCCGCAGCAAGGTGGTACCATCCAAATCTTCGGGGTGGTATGAATGCCAGGAGTGCCACGAGTCTACATGCCACGAGTGCCGTCGGAAAGAAACCTGCCACTTCGTCTCCTTCGTCTCCCAGCCGGTGCCGGGCCAGCTGCGACTCCGCCCAGCCAGTGCCTGGTGTGGATCCGAAAACACACGCAAACAGAAAACGACTCAAGTCCCAAGTGTCGAAAACCCATAGAACGAATCAAGAGGGGCGGTCAGAGTCCCTCTGTCATCACAGAGGGACGGTCCAGACCTAAACCGGCTCTTTTTGGCATCTACAGCCAGTCGTCCAAAAACCGGTCCCCATTGACCTGACCTGTCTCAAGTGGCCAGAGAAAGGAGCCCAGGTGACCGGGGGAGCCCTGGTGAAAGAAACATCTTCAATCCTCTTCAATCCCAGACACTACATGTGTGGGCCCCTTTGTTTCGGGGTGTCTACTTATTGCCGAACCACCCTGGGGGCCTGGGGGGCCAGGCATGGATAGGGTTCCATTGATCCCTCGCCCCAATGTTGTAGGTAATAATGGTATATAAGTCTGCCAGTCCCATGGAGTGTTTGGGAAGACCTTCCATCAGCGCAACACTTGGACAACATGGACACGTCCCCAGAAAATCTCACGTTCCCAGGAGCCTGGCAGAACATGTGATATGGTGAACACACAGTTAGGCCTCACATGTTCTAGCATGGGAACACAGCATCTGGCACAGTGAGGCCCATGTTTGATCGGCGCAAAACACGGAAGACGTCACGTGGAAGCTGCTGGGGGCGGTCACAGTTTCATGTGGAACCCCTTGGAGTTGGCGGCAGAAAGGGGGTGTTCACCTGGGCGTTTGGCTGGATAGATTCAATGGGTTTTTAAAGCCCTGTAAATGTACCGAAAGCCTTCTGCTTTTGCAGGAGTGCCAGTAATTGCTGGCACGACGACATCATTTCAGGGCGAGCAATGACCTGGCCACAGAACTGGAGATGGAGCTTCCACATGTGAGCATGAGCTGACATGATTTGTTCTTCTGGCGGCAATGTTCAACCAGCCTGACCTATTAATGCGGACAATTGAGAACGTCGAGAAGTGTCCACAAATTTATCACTAAAAGTGGGTGCATGATCACAATAACTTACATGCTATATTATATATACACACACACGTACAAATATGGTCTTTACTGTTTTTTTGTGCGCGTTGTTTGCCTCTCATGTCGTTGCGGTAAGGACGTCGTTGCGGATGTTGTTCACCCAGCTCATGGCGTCGAGTCTCATGACCACATGTGGTTGGACTCCATGCATTCGGTTTCCATGTTGCCGATCAGAAACAAGCCTGACTCCGAGGGTAGCACCCTCTCTTCCACCAACTTGGAAGCGGAAAAGGAACACGTCCTCTATCATTTTGAGCACATAGGAATCTAGATGTTTGGAGTTGTTCACATTTCCCGGAAGACAGTGCACATATTAGGTGCCGCAAAAGAGTCATAACAGGTGGTATGGCCATGGTGGAGAGACTTGTTTGATCAGCTTTGTAACTGTCAGCAGGCTCTTTAAGTGAGAGGAGAAAATGGAGGGCTCCAACCCTCCAAGCACCAATTGATACCAATTGAACCCACCCCTTGCGCATTCATACGTCGAACTCTTCCATGTCATTGCTGGTCCAATGCATTGTCACTCCTGCGAGCGATGAAAAGGGAGTGGGTGCTGAAGCTGTCAAGTGGTTCATTTGGTACACTCCGAGTCATTCACATGGATGGAACACCCCCGTATTCGTCAAGGAAAGCCGTCTTCGAAGGGGCCATGCCATCCACTTCGGTCCATGTTAGGTGGGTCAGAGTGTATAGTTTCAAGCTTCAAACACATCTTCCAATGCTGGGCGACTGGAGTCACTGGGACCTGGGTCGACCTTATGGCATTCCATGGCAAACTGGGCCAAGTCTGTCGCCCCGATTTCGACGTCCGGAAGTCGTTTCTTGTGGTTTTCTTCTGTTACAGCAGTGAATGGGCCTATGGATTAAGGTGAAGCTTGGTGGGTCGAAGATGGTGGAAGACTGAAGACTGATAAGTTGATCACTGATGGTCACACTCTTGGTCCCTGATCACGCTAGATTCGTCCAGCGAATCCCGAGCCCCTCAATTGAGGGGGAGCTGGGGCATGCCCAGCGCTTCAGCGTTGCCTTTCCGCGATAAACTTCAAGGGCTCAAGCGCGACTTGAGTGAAGCGACGAAAGCGCCCACACTTCCACGGCGACGGAGGCCATGGACTCCCGCCATGGACGGCGACGGGTGTGCGGGGTGATCAGAAAGCCGGTGCTTGGTCTTTTCTCCCCCTTTGGTAGAGGAAGGTGGCCTTCAGAACATTGAGAACACCTTTTGTGGTCGATGTCTAGCTGAACAACTTGTACGAACATCTGAAGAGGGTTGCTATTCGTTCCTGCTTTTCTCGGGGGGTCGACCGATCACATTCCTCGGTCAGCTGGTTCTTTCCAAGTGTTTTGAGGGATATTAAGTGGCTGCTTTAAGGCAACTGGAATGCTGGGACTAGCTGGTTCGGGTCCTCCGTTTTGAGGGTTGAGACCAAGAACGAATTAGCTAGGTGAGCAGTTTATAGCTGGTTTTTCAATGGGACAACATCAATGACTTCACCTCAGGCCTTCCCCAGACTGCAGACCAAACCATGAGAAAGAATCACTGGCAACAGAAGCTTTCATTTAGGGCTGAAGCAGTGGTGAATCTATTCCCAGGGACTATCACCCCATCAAAACCTAACATAGAAACTGGGAGAACACCTCCAGATCTGGAGTTAAGTTCATCCTGGAATAGATAGATGAGGGAATTGGAATTTAAATCCCCACTTGATGGGCCAAGGGTCTTCCAGCTTCTCACGGATGAGCAATTTGAAAGCCCAGTCCAAGGTCACTGAGCCCTCGAACATGCCTGGAGACTCCAAAAATGTCACGTACAAGAAGCTAGTTGAGGTGTTTGTTCTATGATGTGCATTGTATTGAAACAAGGAGACCCTAAAAGACTCCTTGATCCTGTCGACAAAAGGACGACCATGTCGACACATGTCGACACACTGTTTGTCCGTCAGGTCCTCCAGCGCCGGAATCATGTCGTGGGCGCTGGTGGGGACTCAGACGAAACGACCAAAAGAACCGCGGCGATGACCGAAGAAAACACGGGCGCGATGTGAAAATCGAAGCAGTCAGCTTCTCAGGTGGTGAAGGTTGATCAGTGGTTCCTGAAAAGATGGAGTACGTACGAACCACGGTGGGGACTGACGGATGGGACTGAATGTTTTTCCCCCACCACCCAAATGGGACACTACATGGAATGTCAGGGATGGGAACACGGCTTGATTGAGTGTCCCTGCACTCCACAGGCTTGCAGAGGAACAGCTCGTCCCAACATGTTTGGCAGTCGAAGGCCCTGAGTTTGGGGAAAGGGCTGGAAATGGCTGGAATATGTGGAACATGTGTTTTTTGCCCAAACACGTGGATAACTCTTGACCGTTCGGAACATACATGGTGTATAACATGGTGTATAATGACATAGGGAGAACTCCCAGTTCGGCTCCGAAAAAATAAAATAGACCAGTCTACCGGGCCAGGGGGTCTTCCTATGAATATACACACCCACATGCCGACTCCAACATGTCCGTCCTGATCTGATGCCTAGGACATGTCCTTGGAGGACGTGATCCAAACGAAAGGCGCCACATGTCCAAACGTGCAAACATTTCGGCATTCCATGCCACTGTGTTGTTGGAGATGTGTAGTATTGATGTTTGTTGGTTTGTTTGTTTGTTGGTTATTTGTAGTATTGGGTATTGGGTATTGGTTTATTGGTATTGGGTAGATGCCACTGTATTGTTTGTGTTGTTAGTGTTGCTTCTTTTTGCATGTTGAATCTGATTGGCTTTGATGAATAAGATGTTTGCGTCAGATGCCTTCTGCATGTGAGAAAGGTGTCATTGGGCTAGCGGAGTTGCTTTTCCCGCGGACTCTGTTGAGAATCCCTGGAGTATTTCCCGAAAGCACTACTCTTATATCCACATAGGTTGATAGACACTGATATATAGACAAATTTGGTTTATAAAAGGACCGCGGCCAACACACTGGCCAAGCTATTTGCTTTGACCCGTAGATCACGAGTTGGTCAAACCTAAAATTATGCCCAGTTTGAGAACTCCTATCCCAACTTCCGAAATCAAATGACCAGCAGTTCCAAAGGACCAGGCATTGTTTTTTCCCCTAAGTGAGTGGATACTGAGCACTCCTTTCCTCCAAGTTTGGCACCCCTTTGGAAACTGCTGAGAACTCGAGTTGATGTAACTGTTTGACACATCATTGACTAGAATTGATGCCCCCCAGTTGCATCAGTTGCGCACGACTGGGAAGACCTTGCTTCTTCACTCCGTGCTTCGCTCTCCACGGTCCCAAAAACCGATGTTTGGAACGACCAAAGGTCACTGGCCGATCTGGCATGTGGTTTGGGCATGTGTCTTTGGTTTTTCCCCCTCACATGACATATGTGTGGGGTGGGGACGGTGGGGCGGTGGTTTTTCTGACGGTGGTTGTCCTTCCTCTCTCCTCTGCTCCAGTGGGTGAAGTTTTGCAGGTTGGCAAGGTAGCGACGACATATGGACACAACTCTGAGCTTGTTGGAAAGGCCATGAAGACCATCCAGCATAATCCGACACGTTGATCCTACCCCAGAGATCTGAAGGATGTGCCACACAACCAGCGGGTCGGAAGCTGCACCAGTTCCATGTCGGGGTGCCATTCTGACAGAGGGGCGCCCATCCACTGGGATGGGGGACTATATAGAGACAATTCCTTTGGAACTGCTGGTAGGGCCCTTGGTTCATGATCTTGTCAAACTTCAGTCATCAGGTTGGACGTATTTACGGTGATATAAGTTTGCTGCCCCAAAAATCACATGATTTGTCAATGAGCTTGTAACGTTGTAACACGATTTGGCGTTTGCCCCCAAATCCTCATCGTCCCTTCAAACTTCCCCCGCAGCTCGCCCCTCTGCGCGCGTCTGCCGCGCAGCTCGAAGAGCCGGAGGCGATGGCAAGGGCCAAAAAGGCACCAAGGGCAACGCGTGGCGCCGCGACGATTGGGGCCCGGAACCTCAGCTAGGTGGAGGCCATCGCTACGAACGTAACAAGAAGCTACGAACGTAACAAGGGCATTACTACTACTACTACTACTACTACTACTACTACTACTACTACTACTACTACTACTACTAGTAGCAAGGACGCTACGGTTTGTTTCGATACCCGCGGCCTTGTTTCGCCGTGTTTCATACCAGGACAAATCCTACACAGCACATCGGTAAGCATTTGTCCAAACGGACCACTCTTCAGACAAATGCCGGAACGGATGTCCAAATACATGCCCGAACACATGCAAAAACACAAGCCAGAACGCATCTGAGAACAAGTGATCGAACACTAGCCAGATGAATGTTAGAAAAAATGTCAGAATACATACATGCCCGAGCACATGCTAGAACACATCAGAACAAATGTCGGAGCACTTATCAGTCGTGACGCCCGAGCAAATGTCAGAATGCAGGACACAACATGTCAGAGCACGTTGTTGTTGTGATGGTGGTGGCTGTGGCTGTGGCTGTGGCTGTGGCTGTGGCTGTGGCTGTTGTTGTTGTTGTTGTTGTTGTTGCGTTTGTTGTTGCGTTTGTTGTTCTGTCAGGAAGAGGGGAAAGGTGAGCAAGATGCAAGGTATCTTGGGTGGCATAACTCGCACCACCAACCCTTGGAACCACCCCGGGCACCCAAAAAATAAAAACGGCCATGCTACAGCTGGAACCTGGGCAGTTTCGAAATGTCAGAAATGGGTCAGTGTCCACAATTCACAACTCACTTCCGAGCTCGTATGGTTTCGACTTCCATGAACTCAACTCAACTCGATCGTGCTGATGGTCCGAGTGGGTGTGAAGCTTGAAGGGCACGCTGTGGCGGTTTGCCGCCCAAGTTCTTGCGCAGAACGCTTCAGGTCCTTTTTTGCAGGACGGCCGCCCGGTTGCCAGGCGCTTCCTACACGGCTAAACTACTAAGCCACGTTGCTCTGAGGAGGCACATGTGCGTTGGAGACATTGGCGTCCTGGTTTCTGCGTTAGCTTCGACACCGAAGGTGCCTAGGAACAGAGATGCTGTGGCGGATGACAAGCGGCTGGTGGCCGGCCGCCACACGGGCGTCGCCGTCGCCCTGACTATCGTAAAACCAGAGCGACGGGCAGACGGAAGTCTGCGTGATGGACGGCTGGCGGCTCGGTTTCTTGGCAGACCGCGGACCTGGCGGGCAACCACGGGCGTGAACGTGGGCGGACCTAGATGAAAATGATTGACCTGAACTGCTTTGATGTCGAAGTTTTTCAGAAAACAGTAATAGAAAACCTCCTGGCAATGACCCAATTGTTCTGATATTTTCAGATTCTTGGTCTGTGGGGCTCATTGCTTCCGACTGTCCCAAACCGCAACACCGAGGCGCCCCCAAGCGTGAGTGGAGCAACGACTGGGACGACCGGAGCTGGGGAGGTGGAGCAGCGGACTTGACACCCGGACTTGACACAAAGCAGTCTCATGGTCAGCTTTGGGTCTTGCTGGGCCACGGGAACAGAGCACCCTGGAAAAAGAGAGTTCACCATGAGAGCGACGCAGCAGTTTGATGTGATGTTTCATGTTCGAGTTGAAAAGGCATCCCGAGAACACGGTAAACATTCAGTTTGGGAGGGATACAATAAAGTCAGCTGTGATTTGTGGGGTGGCAACATATGGCAATAATGAACATCCAAGGGTGGGCGATTACATGTCCAATGCCCAAAACCAACCCAATTGTTCTATTTGTTTGCAATGTGTAGCAGGTAGCAGGGTGAGACGTTCTGGGCTGCTGGGAAAGACACCTGTTCAGCACACCTTAAATGGGTGCACCTCTCAGTCACCTGGTGATGGAGCACTCAGCAGACGAGTCACCAAAGACTTCAATTAGTGACGAGCGGGTGGAGAAGTCAACCACCTCATACGGGATTCACACACCACACCCCCCTTATAGGTCTTTTGGCAGGAGGATTTTTCCAATTTGAATGTATCTATGTATATATATATATAGATATAGATATAGATTATATAGTAAGTTGTTAGCACTTAGAATCTGCTCAGAACAACTATTACTTGCAGGTAGAATACGTCAACCACAGCAAAAAGTAATTCGTTTTTGGCCGCATGCAGTTAGCATATGGGCATGCAGTGTGGCATGCAGTTAGAATACGAGGATATGCACTTAGAATCTTGGAACATACACTGCGTATAGTAAAGAACTAAAGAACATAATCTATGTATGCATGTGTGTATGTATCAAGGAACATAAGCAAACTCTGGCAGCCAACTGTGCTGGCGCACCAAACTAGCCATTGTTCAGCCATTTGTTGCAAACAATGCAGCAAGCAAGGAAGCAAGCAAGGAAGCAAGCAAGCAAACAAGTTTACATTCGAACTGCAGGTATCGTTTGTATTCTATGAGGGTTCGTTGCATTTAGCAGTGACTCTTTTTCGGGATGCACTTAGAATATGACTAATTCAAGAAATCTGAATTACTTTATATTCTACGTAAGTGCTGGCAACTTACTATATACACTTGTGAAAAGGGGTGTTCTGAGGATCTCAGGATAAATGACTGAGGCACTGATGATTGGCTCTTGAATCCGGACATGTAGCAACAACATGTTGTGCAGACTCAAACAGGATGTTCGAAATCCATTGTTTCAGCACATCCAAATGACATTCTCCGACAGGACATTTAGGCCAAGTCTTGTGATGTGATGCACTTGCGCTGTAGCATGGTTTCGTCCACATGCGCATCACAACTGTTTGGAGATTCCAAAACAGCGAGATCCACGCCTAAACTCTGGATCAGAAAGAAGTATTCAGGGTTGACTGAAGCAGTTCCTGTCCGCTACTTCGCTTCCAACTCTCAAGTCAAACTGGCCCAAATCGGCGAGGTCCCTCCAAAGGCAATGGCAAAGGCAATGGCTGGCGTGACGGAGGCCAGACGCCCAGCGACGGACCGAGAAATGGATCACCCTGGCGGAGGTCCGGAAGACCCCCCTTTCCCCCTGGGTAGACTCTATTTTCCAAACCTTCCAGAGTGAACTGAGAGGTCTCCCTATTACACACCCAGATCTGTTCAGAACCTGGGGATGAGGTTCGATTTCAGGACCAGATGATTTTCAGCGTGTTCAGGAGTAAAGGCTTGTGCAGGTTGCTAGGGTGTTACCACGCCAAAGGCCTCCATTGCAAGGAAAAAAGTCATTGATGTCTGACCATTTGAACCATTTTCCTTTTGTGTTTGGACTCAGAGGTGATGAGGTGTTTCTTCTGCTTTTTGGAGCGAACATCACACGTGTTTGGCATGGACTTGGTTGCACATCCGTTCACATCCGTTCACTCACTGGCAAACCATACCTTTGGATTCCTGGATGTTGCAATTAACTACTGATGATGATCATATACCCTCCATCCAACTGGTCCATGGAAGTGGAAGATGGCCCCTTGGAAAATGGTTTTCCTCAACGAACAGGCTGTATTCCACTTCCATAATTGTTTTTCAGGGAGGGTACTTGTTTCGCGACGGTATCGCCATCCTGGCCCATCATGAATTGTTTGGACACATGTTTTCCGGAATACGCGAGATGGCCACTGTCTTGGGCAAAACACCATTTGAATGCATTTTTTCACGATATGTGCATGTGTGTGGTGATACACGGTGATACCTAGAACCCATTTGACCCCTGTGTTGACAGAAAAAAAAATGTTTTTAGTGATCCAAAATTAAGAAGATTCTGGTTCTAGGTCTATACGGTGGTTAGCTCACTAGTTGTTGGCTCAGTCCATTTTGCCTAGGGAACCGTGCACAGCCAGAGTCAACCACTGCCCAACGCTTCAGGGGGCTATGAATAGACACCCCAGCGTGGCGGTGGTATGTAGTAACATGTCTCCAAGCTGATTCCGCCGGCACGGTGGCCAGTCTATGCGGCTTTAGTGATAGAACTCTTCGGTTGGAAGGGATGTGACCGGCTCCGAACCCGCTCCGAACCCGGCCGTGTGACCTGGGCGGCACAAGGTTATTATGGACCTTGGGCAAGAGGTGGTGGCCACGGGCTCAGAGCGGAGGAAACGCGCACAAGATGACACTTGGAGGAGACTCTTCAAGAAGGATAGACTTCAAAGATCTTCAAAGTGGCACTTTGCACAACGAAGGTCCTTATGAAGTCACTTTGAAGGATGACATTCAGCCAACATCTTCCCTCCCTTGCTCATCGCAGCTCCCCAGGCTATGGTTATGGAGGAGGAAAAGGGAGCTGGGGCAACCAGGCGACGGCAGACGCGCCGCACTCGCGTCCCCAAGAACTTGGACTACCCGAGGACAGCGAGAATCAAGTGGAGCTCCATCCCCCCGTCGAATCAATCGTTCTGAATCTTGGTCGCCTGTTTGGCGGCTCTGACAGTATAGTTGGGAAACCACCATAAACCACAAAAACTAGTGTTCTTTTTTAGTGTGTTCGTGTTCAATTCAAGACAGCTTTTGGGCATCTTGAGAGTCCAACCCCCCAAGACACTGCCCCCCAGACAGCCGCCACTGCCCGATAGGTCCATCGTAGAGTGGTTCTTGGGGTTCTTGGGATCTCCAGGTTTTTGAACATGGCGCTCATGGACCCGTCATGTGGAGGTTTGGAGGGACCGGTTGGCCTGTGAATGGAGCGTTTTGCGTGGATTGCGTTTGCCTTTGCCTCGTGGCTTCTAAGGAAGTAAGGCTAGCCTCGGCTAGTTTTCGTGGCACATCATGAAGTACTGACAGTCAAGGTCAAGCATTTGTCTTTTGGAGCCGATTCCAGCACACGGTCCGGGCTGGGAGGTATTTTGAAAGATCACCGTCAATGAGTGCTTCCAAGTCGCACTTACCCGAGGCTTTGTCCGTCCGCCTCTCCAAAAGCCCTTTCATCCGTGCCGTGAAAGTGGATCCGAAGTCAGGGCCCTCCCAAGATCCTCCTCTTCACCTCCCAAAAACAGCGAAGTTGACCTTGACCGACCCGACTCCAACCCCTCCTCGACCCCTCCACTTGGCCGGTCGACCGTGAGACACGAATGGAGCTCGAAGTGTTTGTCCTCCGGACGGTCTTCGTTGTGGTTCGAGTCTTCGGGCTTGAGGCCTTTTGGGAGAGTGCTCCATCCAACTGGGGTCGACCCACACCGTACCGGCGGCCTGGGGCCCCAGAGAACAAACGCCTTTTCGCGCGCACGAGGAACACGGGGGAGCGCGCGGTGTGGGGTCTGACCGAGCTTTTTCTGCGGTCGTTTTAGACCGAAGCTTTCGTCTTCCTGTCCTAACAGTCACGAGCAACAAGCAAAACAAGAGATGACAAGCAATGCTACCATATGCTACCTTCTTACTTTACAGTCTGTCGCAGCTGGCCCTCATCCAATTTGCTTCTTGTGGACTCCTGGCCACAGGCCTGAAACGCAGCATTGCGACAGGCGCCTCTCTGGGTGGTCTCGGGTGACCGTAGGCGTGTTGGACGTGGTTCCCGTAGGCCCGACAAGTCACGCGGTCCGCGCTCCGCATGCGGCGGCATCCAGCATCGATCACACAACGACCGCTGTTGTTCGATGAACGGTTCATCTCGATCCTGTTGGACTGTTGGTTCGTTTTGATTCCAACCAGGACTCGGACTGGCTGGCTGCAGAACGGCTGATAAGATCTGATCAGATACACCTTGGCTACTTGTGGCTCTCCATTGACCACCCTTTGAAGGTCCAGGTATATATGTGTAAGCCACATCTTGGTATCGCTCTTTCCAGGTTCTTTCTTCTTTCCGGGTCGCTCGACATCGGATGACAGGCCACCCTCGGACCACTCGTGGCGTGGACACGATGTTTGGGCTCCACTCTGCGGTGTGTTCTTTCAGGGCAAAGTTGAAGGAGTTTGTATCTCCCAACAGGTGCCAGTGTTGCTGCTCCACCTTTGTGCTGGCGATCACCATCATCCTTTGTGTTGATTTGTGTTGGCTTTATGTGTATATACATTCCTCACACATGTATTTTTATTATATATATACAGATGCATATATATATATATATACATATACTGTATATGCATCACTTTAAGTAAAGGCTCTCTAAAAGGGGATGAGTCACGTTGTGGGTGGAACCGTCTTTCTTCGTTGCTTCACGCATTCATCCTGCCAGGGGGTGGTCCCCACCTGCTGCTCCTACGCAGCGAGTGGGAGACTCCCAGTTGGGTAGTGTCGCGGGCTTCGAGCTTGGACAATGCCAGGCAGTACACTCCCCTACAAAGCTCTTTGAAGGAACCCTTGCAGGGTTGCTTGTCATATATCCCTGGATCAGGAAACCTTGCCTTACAACTGTTTGGTCTCTGCAAGCTGCTCGTTGAAGCTAATCATAGAAGGCCCATCAGGCCTCATCCAACATCCCCCAAAGTCCCAGGATGGCAATGGAGGGAACGACCTGCGTTTGTGTGGTTTGGGTGGAACATCCTGCGAAGCTGGAGGGCTGCTTGAAGCCCCGGAACCCGGTGGTGTGTAGATGCGGATGCACCTCCACACCAGGCTGCGATGAGGCTAAGACCGAGGAAACGATGTTGGAGGAAACGACAGGACGCCTGAGGACGACGTTTGGATGAGCTGACCGCTCCGTTTTTGCTGGCTCTCCAGGCATAATCCTGAAGAAGAAACGATATAGGTTCCATCGCAACTTTATTTGTTCAATCTTCTTGATGCTATCTACGTACTTGAGAATTCCTGCAAAGATCTACAAGTCTTGTAGATCTTAAGTCTAGTGCAGTGTAGGCCGTGTGGAAGGCTAGCCCAGAGAAAAAATTGTGGACGGGCAATGGTCATCTTATCATACAATGTTTGGGTCCATCGAGGGGTCGATGGCAAACTCCCTGGAGCCGTGTTTGTTGATCGACGAACCAGGCCCGGGCCCAACTGCCAAACTTTTGGATACTCCATATCAATCCAATTCAAGTAAATTATACGTAGGAGACATGAAACATTGTTGTTTGGGATACTGTACCACCGAAACTTCCTGTTTTGGTTATGCCAAAACTCAGTCTTGGCTAATCCCTTTGGGCTAAACGGAAAAGGGAGGACCAATCGTCCACCCAATCCCAGTGGCCGTGAACCCGACGTCCCTACCGAGGTCTTCGGAGCACGCGACGACCGGCGCTTCGGCGACGACCGGCGCTTCGGCGACGAGCGCCGCGAGCGCTTCACCGAGCGGCTCGCGCCCCGCGAACGGCCCGCGGAGCGGGAGCGCGAGCGCCTGGTGCCGCGCGAGCGGGAGCGCGCTCGGGAAGCCCAGAGAGAGAGAGGTTGGGGGCCTGGGCGACCGAGAACGTTTGAGAGGTGCTCAAGGAACGTTGGTTGGCTATGAGAGCAAATTGAGCGCTGGGGAGTACCTATAGGCGGGATTAAACAGATGTGTTTTGTCTAGAAAAAGACATCGCTGGATCTCTTGATCTTCGGATCACCGAATGTCCCAAAGTGTGACCGGGCTACCTCAGATTTCTGAGTCAGTGTCGGAAGTCATAGGGAAGTCCATGGAAATCCCAAAAGCAATAGAACAACTGCCCAGACGCTCCAAACAGCCCTTGGTCCCTCAAAACGTAGGGATTTGAGACCCCAGACCCCTCCATATGAGGGCCGATGAGCGTTTGGGTGATTAACTGTTAAACTGTTATTGGGATGGGTTGCTTCATGTTCGATCTACAGTCAGGATGGATGTATAACTGGAAGGGGAGAGATGCCATTTGTGTCGATAGAACCTCCCGCAGTTAAAAAGAAGTGTTGTGTAAAGCTGAGAGATGGTTTTCTACGGCCCAAACGCTCCAAACAGCCCAACCGGTCCCTCAAAACCATAAGGCTACCTTGAGGGTCCGGACTCCTCCGACCCCTACTTAGTTTAGGAAGGTCCAGACCAGCCGGCGGACCCTTCTTCCACCGAAGATCAATGGTTAAAAAGGTCGGTGCCAACGGTGCTTCTTCCGCTTCTGAACCCTGGCACCCTTCGCATGGCACCCTTCGCAGCGGTCGGTCCTCTCGCCTCCACTCGTAGCCGGCCCAGTTCGTAGCCGTGGAACCCGACGGAGGTGGATCGGGCGGAAAAGGTCACGGAGAAGGTCCGGAAGACCATCCGGGTCTGCAACGCGCCTGTGGCACAAACACGGCAGAGGTTTGGGACTACTTCGGAGTGGGCGCTGTGTCACTCAAGTTTGGTAAGGTTTGGGTTTATACCGGCCAACCATGGCAACTGAATCCGGGTGTAGATGATGCCCGCTAAGGTTGAGGCGGTTGAGAATATCTGAATCAGATTGCGTATAATTGCGTTATCTGATCTGGCACCAATCCTCCAAGATCAGAAACACAATCCAGATTGAGTGTATTATCTGATTGTGTTATCATTGTTGTTTTTTTTCTGCTTGTGATGAGAATGCCAATCCTCCAAGAACGGTCGACCCTTGCAGGGTCTGTGCAGTTGTCCATGTTTCGCCGCTGGTTGCTTCGGCTTGCATCCCCTGTTGTGTAAATCCAACAGGTTGACAATTGGATACATGAGAAAGTCTACAGAGTCTATAGGATTTGCTTTATGTGTCATTACCTTCTATATATTTATATGTATTGAGACAGGGATATATACCCCCCAAAGACCCCTGGAAGAGTAAAAATAGACCAAACCATCAGTTGTTGTCCCCTATTTCAATACAATTCCATATACAGTATACTGTATACATTATATTATATATATATATCATATATCCTATAACATATATTGTAATGGTACATTATGGTACAATATATCATAATGGTACCCCTTTTTGATGAGAAGACACTGTTGACAAAGGGGAAGAGAGAAATCTGAATCTAAATATGATTAGCTCATAAGTTTCATTGGATGATACAGTATTCCTTTTCTAGGCACTGAAATCAGTTCTTTTTGCAAGTTAAGCGCAACATGTCAAACCTTTGTATCCTCAGCGGTTCCCATTTGTTTGTTTCTCAGTTCCATCCGGTCCGTGGCACTCGCGCACCCCACCACGTGTCGCACCGTGTCACTGCCGGACGATGCGGACGCCGTGCGGAAGCACCGAGCACCGGACGGTCACGGGCCTCGATGGAACCATCCTTGAGATCCCCATGAGTGAGACGGGCACGCCCACAGCGGCTCGGCTGAGCAGCCACCTTGGGCGCTGAGCAGATCGGCGGAGTTGCGTCCCAAATGGTTTCTGTACGGTTGATGTGTTCATTCCCGTGAATGGGGAACTAACAATGCCCAGATTCCGATTTGAGAATTTGTCCGGACAACGCCTCCCCAAGGAATGACAACCAAAGGATTCCAACTGCTGAACCGGCTGAAGAATGCTGAAAGCCGGAGACAAACAGCAGCGACGGACTGCTAATGTATTGCTAATGTACGACAAACATGTACGGCTGAAGTGTGCCATCTACTCTCAAGCCACTGTAATCTTTTTTGAGATCTATTTGGCAGTTTGCAGCAAGCCTTGTCCATGGACACAAGGTTGAGAAGGTCCCACCTGGAGTCACAAAGTTGCCATCAACATCGGCAGATGATCCCAAAGTGTTTACCACTTTTTTCTGGGAATTTACCTGAAACTTCCGGTTTGAGTGCCAGCTTCGTTGTTTGTCCCCTATGTCATCCCACAGAGTTAACAGGAACTTGCCTCATAATATATTGCAGGGTTTTGACTCTATGTGGTTTTCCAAAACGGTTGACTTCCCGTCTCCTGAATCAGGTGGGTGAATTCTGTGAGATCCTTGCAACGAGAGTTGGCATGAAAGCTGGTGGAAGACTTCTTCTCTTGGCTGACGATGAAATCCTAGACGTGTCCAAGCCCTTGGCCGATGTGTGCAGAGGAGCAATGTCGTACGTCGTTAGCCAGGTTGGAGCACAGGAGGCGGCGATCGGATTCCACCGTGCCCTTGCAATCGGAACGAGAGACCACACCCATGCCACCGCGACAGATGCGATTGCCTCATTGACCTTCGGCGATGAGTTCGACCAGAGCTTGGAAGGTGTCACCTTGCCAAAGAACCTGCAGAGTTTGACCTTTGGTTTCGAGTTCAACCAGAGCTTGGAGAGTGTCACTTTTCCAAGCAGTTTGCAAACTTTGACACTCGGCTCATTATTTAAAGAAAGTTTGGAAGGTGTCGCCTTGCCAACCAGCCTGCATTCTTTGACCCTCGGCTGGGCCTTCAACCAGAGCTTGCAACGTGTCACCTTACCAAGAAGCCTGCAGACTTTGACCTTCGGCACTTTTTATAACCAGAGCTTGGAAGGTGTCAACTTGCCAAGCAGTTTGCGAACGGTGACCTTTGGAAAATATTTTAACCAGAGTTTGAAAGGTGTCAACTTGCCAAGCAGCCTTCACACATTGGCCTTTGGCGATGATTTCGACCAGAGCTTGGAAGGTGTCACCTTGCCAAAGAATCTGCAGACTTTGACCTTCGGGTTCACTTACGACCAGAGCTTGGAAAGTGTCACTTTGCCAAGCAGCCTGCAGACTTTGACCTTCGGTTTCAAGTACAACCAGAGCTTGGAAAGTGTCACTTTGCCAAGCAGCCTGCAGAGTTTGGCCTTTGGCTACGAGTTCAACCACAGCTTCCAAGGTGTAACGTTGCCAAGCAGTCTGCAGACTTTGGCCTTTGACGACAAGTTTAACCAGAGCCTGGAAGGTGTCACATTACCAAGCAGCTTGCAGACTTTGGCCTTTGGCGACAAGTTCAACCAGAGCTTGGAAGGCGTCACCTTTCCAACCAGCTTGCAGATTTTGACCGTCGGCTGGTACTTCAACCAGATGTGGGAAAGCCTCAACTTGCCAAGAAGCCTGCAGACTTTGAACCTCAATACTATGTTTTACCGGAGCTTGGAAGGTGTCACCTTGTCAAGCAGTCTACAAACCCTGAGCTTCGGAGACAGTTTCACCGAGATTTTGGAAGGTGCAACTTTACCTAGCAGCCTCCACACTTTGACCTTCGGCGAGAAGTTCAACCAGAGCTTGGAAGGCGTCTCCTTGCCAAACAGCCTGCACACTTTAACACTCGGCAATGGGTTTAACCGGAGCTTGGAAGGTGTCGCCTTGCCGAGCAGCCTGCAGACTTTGACATTCGGCCATGACTTTAACCAGAGCTTGAAAGGTGTCAACTTCCCAAACAGCCTGCAGGCTTTGACCTTCGGCGACAAGTTCGACCAGAGCTTGGAAGGTCTCGCATTGCCAAGCAGCTTGCAGACATTGATCTTTGGACATGATTTCAACCAGAGCTTTGATTCTGTCACTTTGCCAAGCAGCCTGCAGACGTTGACCTTCGGCAGTGAATTCAACCAGAGTTTGGATGGTGTCACTTTGCCAAGTAGCCTGCAGACTTTGACCTTTGGCGATGCTTTCAACCAGAGCTTGGATGGTGTCACGTTGCCAAGCAGCCTGCAGACTTTGACCTTTGGCGATGATTTCAACCAGAGCTTGGATGGTGTCACGTTGCCAAGTAGCCTGCAGACTTTGACCTTTGGCGATGATTTCAACCAGAGCTTGGATGGGGTCACCTTGCCCAGCAGCCTGCATACTTTGACCTGCGGTCCTGCCTTAGACCCCAGCTACCTGGACAGCATCACTTTGCCAGGTAGCTTGCGTGAGCTTGGCTTTTTGGAGTTCAATATTTCCGTTCATGTCTTAGATATCAAATGATGTGCCAGCCGCTTCTTCACCCAAGACCAGTGGCTGCCTGCATTGCATGCTGACGAAAAGGGTCACCCATGATGAGACAACGGGCGGTCAATTCCGAGCCCCGTGCTTAATTTTGAGTTTGTCTCTCTACTAACCACACCCCAACCTCTTTCTGAGGTGCCGAAGAACCTGGAAGACAGAGATATTAAGAAAGCCTTTGAGGATATTGGCCGCGTCACCAAATGCGAGGCTCACGGAGGACGCGCGTGGCGAACGCTCTTAGCTCCTTTCCTCCGGACACGTGTCCGGAGAAGTGACGGGACGTCAGACACGGTGGGAGAACATGGTGGTTCTGTTGGGAAGTTTGGTGGCCAGTTTGGTGGCCATGTTTTGGAATCCATGTGTGTTGGCCAGGGGGAGAGAATGGGCAGGAGAGATGTAGACTTGAAATCTGCAATATTGTAGTGAAACAAGTTTGGGGAGGAAGATGAATTGTTTTGGCAGCTTTTTTGCCGGGATTAGACAGGTGAAGGTGTTTCATCAAAGAGATCTATACTGCCTTTTTGGAGTGAAAACCAGGGGGTTCAGTCAAGAGAGAAGTTTTGCCACGTTCATGAACTATAGGTGCACGCTGGACATCCCCTTTTTGAGGAACCTGTTCATTTCACCCACAGTCAACCACGGTGGTTTTTGACCCACGGCCATGTGGGGGCTGGTTCAAACCCTTTTCTCGAACATCTCGTGGCTTGCAGCGCCCCTTGGGGTCCTCGGCTTTTTTGTGGACCCAGATGTTGTTTCCTTTTCCGAAGCCTGGTTCCAAAGGCAGGAAATGGACACGATAAACGACCGAACTTCTGGGTACATCCAACCGTTGTGCGAAGAAGGAAAGAGCGCAGCTGTCAGGTGGAGCACGGAGTTGCCATCATCACCTTCGCCAACTCCTCACACGCCAAGAAGGACGGAGCGAGCTCGAACGGACCGGACGGTCACGGAGTGTTGGATCACGAAACGGATCAAAAAGCAATTAAACAAAAGCGGTACTAGGTGTGCACGACATGTGACCGCACCGCATTTTGGGACACCCAGAACTGGCACACCATGGTCAAGACAACTTGTTGGTGCTTCTGTACCTTCCAATCCGTAGCTTTGCTATGCTTTGCTATGTAATTACGTTCGTTGCTGTGGCCCGGAGTCGTTGGCAAATCAGGCCGCCCCTTAATACCCGTGCAGCCTGCGACGTGTCTACTAGTTCCTAGCGGCTGGGCGTTGTGATACCTAGCAGCCTCACAAGAACGGGTTTTTGGTCCGAATTGGATTCGGATTCGAAAGGCTCCAGCCACACGAGACCTGCTTGGCTTCTACAGTGTTTCCCGTTTCCGTTGGCGTTTCGCCAACGGTCACCACCGTTGTTCCGGTCCGAGGCACGCGTGCACAAGGATCGTGAAAACCAGGGAGTCCTGTGCATGATTTCGGTCCCTCAAAGGGTCGCCAGGGTCGGAAAGTGTTTTGAGGGTCCGGACACCTGTGGAGGGTCTGCTCTTGGAGGGTCGGATTCTTAAGTGTTTCATGTTCAAGACGTTTGGGATCGTTGAACTGGGTGGCCACCACAGGACTGGGAAGATGTGGTTGGGTTTCAGTTTCGGATTCAGCTTCTGGGTTCCAGCTTCCGGGTTTACCAGCCGACAAGTCCGGGCATGTTCGGCCGTGTTGGCGCCTGAACCATCCGAGGGGGCCCTGAAATGGCCTTCGAGTAGCAAAGAACCAGGACAACCAATCATCCGATCTCCTTGTCACGAAAGGATTCGATTCGATTCGAATCGTTTTCGGAAACCTCGGTTGTTCGGCCAGTGATGGTTCCCCCTGTGTTGGACCATTTGGATTGATTTGGGATGTAAACAATCACTGAAGCAACTACCATCAACTACCGCTTTTTGCTTCACGGTGACAACTGTTTGGTTTGGATCCCAGACCGTGATACATGGTGATACTAGATATAGACATCTACCTCAATTGATGACTGTACAACTGTACAAGATTCCATACACATCTCTAACATCTCTTGCCATACAGACCATGTTTCATCTGTCAGACCAGACATGTCTCGACGAGGCGGTGCAGACCTTCGATCGTGGGGAACTGAACGGCCAAACCATTTACGTCTCTGTGCACGAGCCTTGATGTGAGGCCTCTCTTGAGGCACAGGCTTCGAAGAGTAAGTGCATTTGGCGACAACACTCCAAGACTCGTATGTCCTATTAATCATGATTCATGATGTTGGATTTTCACATCGACAGCCGGGAGTGTAGCTATAGCGGAGGGTAGCTCTCAGACTAACAGCGTCAGCAAAGTACTTCAGTCAATAGCTGCTGTGACATGACCATATCCAGCAAGGCGAAATAGAATCGAAGTTCCGCCGCAAAAAGAAAAGCGACGTCCTTGTTTCTGATTGGTCTCTCCAATGCCCCAGCTGGCCGCAGGAAGAATGCTGACAAGTGGGTGTTGCCTGAAACCCCTCACCATGGGAAGTAGTGGAAAGATGTGGACCAACGACATTCATTAAGGGGAGAAAATGTGAGAAGCCACACATATTACAAAATCAAAACGCCCCAAAACCTTGACATGCCCCCAGGGTTGGGCGTTTGTTTGAAGTCAGGAGACCAGGGGAAACCTGGATGCAGGAACCCGCCCCCTTCCGCCTCGGCCGGTGTAGTCCCCCCATGTTCAACATGCAGTCCGTGACCCACCAGACACCCAACAGCAACAGCAGAAGTCCGGAAGATTCAAAACCCATCTGACGGTACATGGATACCTTTGGATACCTGAACATCACATCTCTGAATCTTCCAAAGATCCAGTGATGATCTCCCTGAATTTGGAGCCATAGAACCCTCAGACCCTCAGATCCAGTACTGAAGGTATTGAAGTTGCTTTGTACCCCCATGGCTCATGGTGATCCATTCTTTTGGAGGTTCTCACCACTGCTGGAAGTAGAGTAGAAATCCGATCCCTAAATGTGGTATGCAAGGCAGAGGTGTGTCCACTAGATCCTGCTTACCGCTGCTTACCTATATATGTTGAATATACAATCGCGGCATCCTTTCTCGATTTACTGGGTCAAAAGCATCACATCCTCTAATGATTTACTTCAGATGGTTGATTTCCATGAGTTTTCTTAAAGCCGATCTGGGCGCCGCCTTTCATTCTCGGCCTAGTGTATTATTCCGCGACGGGTTCCGTGATCCATCGATGCACGTCGCTCTCCGCGTGACGCGGTTCGCGACGCGGTTCGCGACGCGGTTCGCGACGGCCGCGTGGCGTCGATGGCATCAGACGGGACACCGCGCGGTCAGACGGTGACGGATTGAGAGCAAAAAGGGCAGGGCAGCATTCCCAGGAGTCCGATGGGATTGGTTCTGACTTTCGCTCCGGGAATTTCACTTTGGGAATGTCTATAGACATGAAAAAGACACCAAAACACAGCCATGCTGGCGTGCGCAGTGGATCCACCGTTTCGCCTTGGACTGGAACTCGACGGCCGGTCATCCGGTGGAGCCCATCTGAACCGAAGTAGCCGGACACACTATTCCAACTCAAGTGAGTTATCGGTGTCATATGTGGTTATAAGATGTTATAAGTGTTGTTATATAATACTGGTATATATATATATAGAGGCATTCTTTGTTATAGTTGTTATTATATAGTGGGACAGTGGGACTCAAGTGTTATTGTTATAGTTATTCTTTGGGACGTCTTGAACCGGACATCAACGGACACCGACACCGTGGCCAACTGTTTGCACAGAGTGGCAGTGGTTGATCCGTTGCTTCAAAGGGCTCAAGGGTGACTTGAGTGGAGAAGAGCTTCAATACCTAGACGGCCACAGTGGAGGCCTACTGCTGCCACCGCGCTGCCACCGGGTCAGTGATGTGGCTGTGGAGTTTCCATTGCAGTCAGGGCACAAGATGACGTTGCGTCTTCCGGTCGTGTTGGGAGTTGGAAGCTGTTGGGTGTCGTATTGACTTACACAAAATGAAGAGAGTGACCTTTCTTCCCAAAAGAGCTTGCTGGAACAAGGGATAGGGCCTAGGGCATATTTCTGTTGTGGGGGCTTAGGTGAACCTATAAGTAATACTGCATAGATGAACATAATGAACACATATTTGTACATATTCCATCCCTCCCACCCACCCGGGACCACCCTAGAAGCTGGAAAATTCCGTGTTGCCTGGTGGGGGTGTTACTATCGGACAGTGGATGGCGCGCCCAGAAAGACACCGTGAAGTCTCCACGGATTTCTAATAGCTTCTTGTTTCTAATGGCTTCTTGCTTATTGTTACTACTAGTAAGGCACTTGTTACTACTAGCGATGCGCCTGTTACTAGAAGCTTCTTGTTTCTAATAGCAAACATTGTTACTAGTAGTAAGGCACTTGTTACTAGTAGCTTATTGTTTGTGAACAAGTATGCTGACATTCCAGTCCATGTTTAGCTGTCGGTGATTTCACCCATCGTTGAAGGCCCATTACCGGCGCCGGAATCATGTCGGCGCTGGCTGAGAGCTCAGAGACACCGGAGACACCGGCATCGGCCAGACCGGCATCGGCACGTCCCCCGGATCTCCAGACATGGCAAGGAAACTGTTCTGATAGTGACAGATCCATTGAATATCATTGTGCACTTGTTGGGATCCTGACTGTTTGTGCGTTTGTATCAACAATTCCAGATTGGATTCTCTTGCTGCTCAGAACTGAGTGATCACATTCCAGATATGGCTGTTGTATCAAAGAAAACAAGTCGTGCGGTGTTTTTGCGTTAGACTGATCAGCTCACTTGTCTAATTTGAAGGATTGCAGCTTTGGTTGCCCAGCAGTGGGGATTGGTTCTGGCACCAAGCATGACCACAGGCTGAATCTACGAAATCGATAGAACTCCGTTTGTGTGTCCTGTTCAGCCTCTTTAAAACTGTGTTTATCGTATTGTTTTGAGTGTGTATAAATTATATATATACATAATTGTACACATTATGGTAAAAACTACTGCATACAGTCATTCACCTTCGCCAGTCTTTGGCTCGTTGTCTGCTCTGGACCTGCGAGTCTGGGCCTGGAATTCACAAGGTCAACGTCATGGTCAATGATCGTTTTAAATGGCCCTTAGCATCTCTTAGCTCTTTGTGGAAAGGGAACCAAAACCTGTTCTTGACATGACCCAATCAGATTATGCACTGCTTGGATTTGAATCTGCCATGCAGGCAGGGTCCTTGAGCCAAAAGCCCTTATTGATACTCTTGGCATTCCGTCGCCCCAATATGTGTGCGTGAACATGGCAACTCTTTCACTTGTACAACGAAAAAACTGCTTTAACTGATCCTTCCTGCATTGTTTTTTTTGTTCAGGAAAACGACCAAAACCAAAGGAAAGCACCTTTTTCATCGCTGAACCGAACCGAAATGCTGGCTTTCTCCGCTCCTCGGTACCCGTGCTGCACGTCGGTGCGAGCATCGCTCATGCCCAGGACATGTCCTTGGAGGACGTGATCAAGTCGAAAGGCGCGGTGAGACACGACGGTCGACGAGGTCGGTGGGATTCTTGGTCGTACGACCGGCGCGAAAACGGTCGGGACTGGCTCAAGTCCATGCAGTTGTCATGCCGTCGTGACATGGGGAATGACACCTGGACAGAACTGGATGGAGTGGCACTGGTATTTAGTAACTATTTGTCAATGTGTTGGCCTGTATGTGCTCTTGATGTTGCGATGTGTTCTTTCTTAGCTTACTCTTTGTTTGTGAACATGCTTGATACAGAGCTGCACCAGCTGGTTTTCTGATAGTGTGTTGTTTGTTTTGCTGAGAATTGCCTCTTGGGATTCCCAACAAGTAGTATGAAGCACCAGATTAATTAGGATTAACTGAGGGATTGTTGGCTCAGGGTTCAATTTGTCTATCGTGTGAATTGGAATGGACTCTGGCCTTCAATTAGTCTTTAAATGTGACATTCACGTACATTCACTCCCATTTTGTGGGTTGCCGTGAATTGCCAACATCGAAAACCTTCGAAAACCATTGAAAAGGGCTTTTGTCTTATATATGTTTAAGCTTTTGAAAGGAGCACCTAGCCCAGCGGAGTGCGAGAGAGAGAGAGAGAGAGAATTGAAAGAAAGAAAACAAGAAAACACTCAAGAACATGCTTGTAAAATTGCATTCTGTAGGAAAGCCCTTTGCTGGAAGAACACTGGTCTTTAAAACCAAATCCTTGGATTTTGCCGCCGCGCTGGTGATGCCCGGTCACCGTTTCGGCCGCAAGCAGCTGGCGTGCTGAGGCGGCAACAGCAAGCGAGCCGCACGTGCTGGGAAGGTGGGGAGCATGATTGGAGGAGACGTCAAAGAGACTTCCTGGACGCAGAGAGCAACCAATTAATAAGACCAGGTCCATATCGGAAGGGATTTCAGCCCTTTCCTCCAAAAATAGCACCCCGACATGTCATTGAAGGATGCAGTATTTCATCAATTGAGTCGATGTCTTGTTGCTAGAATAGAGCACACCAACAATACCCGTCAATACCCATGCCGCTGGGCAAATGTGTGTAGCACCGGTTCCACACTACACCGTGACACAAAAGCTCAACCAAGTTCAGAGCGCGCGCACACACACTGCAAGCGCATAAATCTAAATCTCATGTTGGCCCTGTCTCAAGACAAGTCTTTATCGTGCAACGGAGAGCTTTGGGAGGCCTGGAAGAAGCCCAGAAAACCAAAACAGCAAAGCAGATTGGGACATACGGTGTCTTCCGCCCCGACCGGTCGGGGCGGAACCGTTCCGTCTTGACTCGGCAGGTATGGGCAGGTTTTTGGGGCCACGTGTGCATTCATCATATGCCACTGCCCTTGTTTCGTTGAAGTTTGAGCAACATGAAGCTGCTTGGGATGGTCCTCCACTGCCCTTTGACAAAGAGGCGTTCTAGAGAAGGTCTTGCAAGCAACGCAAAATTCCTGCCAGTGCCAGTCCAGTGCAAATCAACAAGTACAGTAGTTTCCGTGTTCCAACAACCAGATTGAGAAGTGGTGTTTGCTTTAATGGCTGACCAGGTGAATTAATTGAAGTGCTGCATGTCATATGCTGTACATTGTCCCCTGTGTGTTCACCCAAAGTCCCTCTTTGGTTTGATGTTTTTGTGTAAACGTCCAACATTCTTAAGTGCAATGTTGAGCAATGATAATCAAGAGGCTACCGTGGACAGTATGAA